AATTACTTCTCAATCTTGCTCAAAGTCATATTTTCAGTACCAAAGGGATTATTATGATCCAATTAAAAATATGGCAAGAGAAGTAATATCATCAGCTTTGAACAAGGTAATTGAAAAATCAAATGAAGAGGGAAAAAAAACCATACCTTGTTCATTTGATGTTTCCTGGTCACATGTTTGAAATGCACCACAAGCAAGTGAAGAGTTTATTTATGATGGTTATATTGAAACTTCATGTTATAAGCCAGTAATTGCATTTTTGATTTGTGAAAAATCTCACACAATAGCAAAGGAAGGAAAAAATATAACAACCCATGAAGGTAATTTTGATCAATCATCATGCCAAATGGAACATCAAATTTTGATAGATATTTTAGAAGAAATTACTCCAACTTTCAGAGAAAATAATCTTCTGCTTGATATTGCCATTGATGGTGATCTAGATAGTAATAAAACCTTATCAAAATATAATATTGTAAACCAAATTTTTACTGACTTAAAGCATAAGACAAAAACAATTAGAAATAAGATAAATAATGGCAAGTATAAAAAATGGGAAAATTTTGAAAAGTGCATTCTTGATTATTATACTGCATGTGTATATACAGCAAGTAATCAAAAAGATAATTATAATGAAAAATCTATTGAAGAGAAGAAAACATTACCTTTACCTCCTGATGATGATAATATACATTATATGCAAACTGAAATTTTGTTTGAACATTTGTGTGACAAGCATGATAATTGTTGGGAAGAAGTTTGTTGGAAAAGCAAAAATCCAGAAATAGAGAACTTAATTCATTATTCTAAAATAGAAAAAGGAACATTCAAAAAAATGATCCAAGACATTATCAAAAACCCAAAGGGTCAATCACTTATCACCAAAACATGTACTTGCCATAATGAAGCTATGAATCATACCAAGTTATGTTTTCTTGATAAAAAAATTGATTATACAAAATCATTTGTTGCAAAGGCATTCCATGGCCCTTTTACATAATAATTGTGGTGAACTTGAGACTTGGACTCAAATGTGCAATTCATTAGGTGAAGTTGGGTCTTTCTCTATACAAGATTTAAAAAATATAGAAAAAATATGTGAACAACATGATGTTAAAAGAGAAGAAAATGTAAATAACATAAATGAGAGAAATTCAAAAAAACATGATCAATTGAATTCCTTACTGTGCCAGTGACATGCATGTCATGTCTAAATCTCCATTTTTAAATTGAGTGTTTATAACATTATTATTCAACAATTTTTTGTGATTCCCCATAAACATTTTAATGATCTTATACCTTTGAAATATATGAAAATTTATCATCTGAACTCCAGGAATGTGGGACTGTAACCAGTCAACAATTGTGTTCTAACTTTCTTGACATTCTTCTTTGACCATAACTTGACCATGAAAATAGTCAGAAAGTCCATATATATATTTAGCAGGATCTTTCTTAGATGTGGGAACGCAATAGTTGTGCATATTTTCCATATTTTTTTGGAAATTCAAATTTTTGATATCTATCCCTTAAACTGGCTATCATACAAATTTGTACAATTAAATTTTTTTATATAGAAAATTTTTTCTGATCATCATGCTTTCTAATTAACAAATGATATTTGAGATTTTATACATTGATCTACAGTGAACCCTCCCTAAATGCACCCTCCCTAAATGCACGCACTATGTATACCCTCCATAAATGCATGGCCCATCTCATCCCCAAGCTTATAGAGAGCTTATAAAATCACCCTCCATAAATGCACACCCTCCATAAATGCACGCTCACAAGAAATAGCACTATGTTCCCAAGGGGGGTGCACTTATAGAGGGTTCACTGTATAAAGATTGGTGGTCATTGCAATCATTGCCATGTGTCATCACACTAGCTAACTATAAACTTTTTTTTTATTAGTGAAAATAAAGAAAACAATGATGAAAGGGTATTTATTCAATAAATTATTATTTTAGTACTCAATATTGTAAACACTAATTCAACATAAAATAATTTTATTCTCTGCACAAACAATCATCCTCTTTAGAGTTGGAAAGAGAAGGCAGAAGAGTTGCAGTTGGAGAATGAGAGATTAAAAAGAAGATTAAAATGTGTTGAAGGTAAAGATCCCAGGTTATACATAAATATTCTAGTTATTATAAAAAAGGTCAATCATTCACTGATCCATAGGTGAGCCACCAATATACAAAAAATATTTTTCGTTCATTACATTTTGTTTATTTATTAGTTTGATAAATTATTTTTGATTGTTTATTTGTTTATTTGAATGAGCATTTGATATACTATTTACAACTTTAATTAACTTATACTTTTTATTTTTCATTATTATACTCCAATATTTATGTTTTATTAGAAGAAGGTAAGAATTGTTGTGGATATTATACAAATAATAATAATGTAAATGTCATTATTCATTATTCATTATTGTTTTTTTTATTATAGTTGCTGATCAAAGGAAATGTAAATAAATTTTATTTAACATGGATTACAAGAAATCCTTTTTATACTCTTATTCATTTTTTCACCATTCATAAAACTCATTATTAGAAGAATCAGAAGATATTATAGTTCTGGATTGGGCTTTCCAAGTTGAATACAAAGATGATGCTAATTTTTTGTCTGTTTTGGAGAATCAAATAAATATAATTGCAAATTCTTCAGAAAAATACTATAATTACTTGCCAATTGTGCAATCATCTGGATATGGAAAGACAAGGTCTGTATGTCAACTTGCAAACAAACTTCCTTTAATATATGTATGTTTCCGTAAAAAAAATTCAAGTGGGTACCCTCTGGCAACATTAAAAAGTGATATTATGTTAACTGATATAAGTTCAGCAGCAAATGTAGAGAGTGCAACAAATGTAGCATCACAATGGCTTTGGTCAATGATAAAGACATTTCATGACATGCAGTTGGAGGGAAAATCTTCTGATTTGTTGGTTAATTATGTAAGATGATGTTATTTTTTTATTTTTATTTTTTGTTCTGTTAATGTTGTTATATTTTGACTTTTTTAAAAAAATAAATAAATAGGATTTGTCACATAGATTCTGGGAACAAGTCAGTGTTGAGAAAATTGCTGGAACTGGAACACTGGAACAAAATTTCCAGTTCTGGTTCCAGTGTTCCAGTGACTTTTTTCTGGAACACCAATGGAACACTGG